AACTATTGAAAGAAAACGCTCAAACTTCATAGTGGAGCATACATACTAACCACAGATGCAACTATGGCACTTAATTTGATTCATAACAAGTCATAAGTGGTCCTGAAATAGCCTATTTAGGAAGGGTTCTCTCTTTATCCGAGAGCAGTGCCAAGTACTGCATAATCAGGGCATTATAGACGGCTTACCTAAATCCCACATTATAAAGTGGAAAGTGAGAAGGGGTGAGAATCTGCTCATAAAAGAAGCGGATTTGAAAGTGTTAAAACATACCTTTCTCGGCCTTTTGGCTAAGATCAAGTGTAGTAACTGTTCCTATCAGTTTAATATCTGATACGTCTGCTATTGGCTCACATGATATTAAGTTAATTTTTTGTAGGGGAGAGTTCATCACAGTAGCTTGCTACTGGGGCTCATAAGCGTCGCCCAAGCGTTGCACTATAGCTTGGGTCTGGCACACCCAACCAATTCAAGTCTAATTATTTTGAAGCCTGAATTTATTTGAAGAACTAGATTTGAGATTCGATCTCAGATTTCTATCATTCATGCAGTGTTGTTACAGGAAGTTCTGATCATAACTGCTGGGTGTTTGGATCAAAACTAACCATAAATCCTGATGTTTTTGCCTAGGCTTCTTTTCAGCTGGATAAGAATGTGGTTACCAATCTACAGTCCCTGTTCTGGTGGAAAAGCAATGAGAGCGTTGTTTCAACAGACTTGATGTCATCGGTGGTAATTTGTTTCATATAATGGCCTGAAAGGTTTTATCTTTATAGCATATTAGTTCTGGTTGAAGTGTGATGTAGAGGTTCTATATGTACGTCTTCTTTTTAAGACTGTATACTGTTTTTGAGTTTGATTATGACTGCAGTCGTGAAAATGTACGTCTGTTTTTCAGTCACCAGGATGCTATGCAACATTTATGATAAAGAGGTCCTAATTGATGTGTGAACATTTTTTATCAATAGACACAAAATTAGTTATCCAATTTCACTAAAACATCAAAAAAAAAAAAAAATGATTCCACACAATTCCAGTACTTATGGCAAGAACAAACAGTAACACTTCCAATATGTTGGGAAGACAGACTGGAGAGTATATGTAGGTGATGAAAGATATTTATAGCAATTGACAAAGTTAATGAGAAAGTAGCAAAATCATATACCAGGAACAAAGATTTAAACAGCCAAAGCTTGTTCTCCCAGCACTAAAACATGTTTTTCCCTTTGTTGTTTCCTCTTGAACTTGCTCATATTTTCATTTGACATGATTGGACAGAAAATCATTGGATGGCTATAGTCTATAGAAATAATGAAGGCATAAGATCACCATATTGAAAATGAGTAAAGATAATCCAAATTATGCATTGAAAATCAATAGAAGGATATCAGAGAAAGCTGATGTCTGAGATGTCAACAGGTTCCTTGCATGTCTAAATTGTGATGGCTTGTGATTAAAATGTTGCTTCCTCAATTGGAAAATGTTAGACAAGGTTAAGATTTTGTCTTAAGGTAGTGAAACTCAAAAGTGTTTCCTTTAATTTCACTTTGTATACGAATTTGCTGCAAGAACAGTTTTCTACATTTTCATTATTTCTTGACTAACAACGATGGTCTAAAAGGGAGATTTCAGGACATAAAAGAAAAGCTTAAACTCAAGAATGGATCGTTGAGACCAACCCCAGATGAAATTATCAGAGCCAATTCCCAGCTCTTATATATGGCCATTCTTTCATGTGCAGTCGAGTTTATTCGGTAGTCTTAAACCTTTTCTCGTGTCATGCAGCTATTTGAATTGATTGGTTTCTAGTTTCTTCTGAAAAAATTAATATATTTATTCTAACGAGAGAAAAAAAAATCATACATAATCAAATGAGATACTTGGCTTTTTCTACTTATCTGTAATATTCTTGATCTCTTGTGAGATAATTACAAACACAAAATTAAAAATAATAATCCACATATAAAAGAAATTAAGGATGAAAATAACCAGGAAAACAAATCTAATTCTGAATAAATTTTCCTAATTAAGCAAGCTTCATTTGCTTCATCTGCGATTTAGCTCTGAACTACTTCTGAATTTATCTTCAATGCATAAGTTTTCCTACTTACCAAACATCATTATATTGCTTTTTATAATAAATTTGGACTCAATGGATCTTAACACTTAATTTTGAAGGAACCAACTGATATATTTTATTTTATTTTTTAATACAACTTATTATATCACATATATACATGCAAATAATATACTAATATATGCAAACAACTTTAATTTTGAATGGACTAATTTAAATTTATTTAATATATACACTAAGAGTTGCTTAAAGTTTGGGAGGGAGCCTTAAGAGTTGTGAAAACTTTGGGGGCCAAGGTCCCCCATGCTTGCATGATGGTCGGCCCTTGATTCCGGACAGATTAAAAGTATATAAAAAGATGTTCATGTATTAAATTTTGGCATAATTGATTTTTTTATTATATTCAAAATTCTAATACAAAAGAAATTTGGAAAGGCAAACTTATTTTTTTATATTATCTTCTTTTTGACTTTTTGGAATAATTATTGCATTTTTTGGCTGTGTAAATCAAGTAGGTTTATGTCATGGGGACCCATTATCAGACGTTGAATGCTGAATGCAGCAACAATCTGGAACCTTATTAAACAATTAAGGCCTTAGAAGTTACAAATAAGACATTTCAAACAGAAGCTAGATCAGAAGGAAGATTTTTAATAGATTTCCAACGTGATTGTCATCAATTTCTACTCGGCTTTCATCCCTGTAGTTTTATATATTGCTGAGAAAACAATCAGATCTACATGTTTTTCATCCCTGGCTTGATATATTCGATTTAACTATAAAGCAATACTAGTAGTTTTATTTATTCGAATTCTATCGGGCCAAAAGATAGGTTGGCATCCCTGGCTTGGCCTTAAGTTTGACCAAAGCTAGCAAAGCTCCTAGTGAAAGTGTCACGAATTTAAAAGGGAGTCTTGAATCTCTCATCGAACATAATAGGAAGGTCACTGAAGTATATAAGTTTTCACACCACCTTTACCTTGTGAGGTACCTTTTGTAAGATAAAACCGTGAGGTCGGAGGGTCAGAGCGGATAATACCTCACAGGGGTGTAAACAGTAACGGTTAGGCTAATCTGGGATGTCGGAAGGGTGAATGCTCGGGTTTCGGAGTCGCGCAGGTTCGGAGCTTAAGTCTCGATCCGTGACAAGTGGTATCAGAGCCAGCTCTAAACCGTTCGATCCACGCCAAGCACATCAAAGGAGGTAGGCAAGGTGATCAGCCTCCGTGACGAGGACGTCACAAGGTTGGGTGAAGGAGAATATCACGAACCTAAGGGGGAGTCTTGAATCACACATCGAACATAATAGGAAGGTCACCGAAGTATATAAGGGTTCACACCACTTCCGCCTGTTGAGACGTCTTTTGTAAGACAAAATCGTGAGGTCGGAGTCCAAAGCGGACAATACCTCACAAGAGTGTGAACCGTGACGGTTAAACTGATCTGAAATATCAAAAAAATGAATGTTCAGATCTTAAAATCGCACGAATTCGAAACTTAAGTTTCGATCCCTGACAAAAAAACCAGGGTCACAGCTAGTACCAGCACAGCACCAACCCCGAAAATTTTTCTTGGCGGACAAAGCTTAGTTTATCCACCCGCAGAAAATAAAACAAAATACTAATTTTCACTTACTTTTTCATTTAGTAAGTGAATAAAGATATGTGCCTAAACTCAACTAAATAACGAAGTCTGCTATGGTGAAACTAAACTACAATTGCTATCAAAACAAGGACAAGCCTAAACTACAACAAACAGAGAGAGAGAGAGAGAGAGAGAGAGAGTTCTTGCTTTATACTTCATTTAAGCAAAGACTTGATGCATTTGACTTATAGTTGGGGAAGTTATTTGGGCGCCTCTTTTAGACTAAGAGCAATAATTTGTTTTTACCCGTTTGGCAAGAGTGGTGTTTGGACCAGGAACAAAAAGTATCATAAAACTATCTGTATGCATTTTTTTTGGGTTTCATCAGGGTTGTAAACGTACTTCAAAGAAGTTTAATGAAACATAACTGATCCCTCTCTCTCTTTCTAAATGTTATTCTTATTTTTTTTAATATTTTTTAAGTGCTCCTGTAATTTGTATAGACCAAATTCTTCATTGAAAGCTCTAAAATTAATTTTTAAAAAATCATATATAAAAAATGTGTTCAAACTTTTCTATTGTTCACTTTTACCGATCAATTCGATATTTTCGCAACTAATTTGGTGACACAATTCCAGATTCCTCTTTCATTTTTCTCTGTTTCTATTATCCCTTGATCCATTGCCCAACTCACCCTTTATGTCTGCTACTTTCTTTCTCTTCTTATTCGGATTCCCTTTTTCTATTTTTCTTTCTTCCTTTCCAAATCTCTTTAAACAACACAGAAGACTTGCTTTTCCTTTTTATTTTCCCCTTCTCTTTTTTTTTTTTGGAGTCTTTGACTAAATTCGACATACACAAAAAGTTAGTTTTTGTTTTTAAATAATATGTTTGACGGCTAATTGGCAACAGAAAAACAACTATTCAACGCCAATAAATAAAAATCAACAAACAACTGTTATTGTTACGACAGAGTCTGAATGGGAAATGTTGAAGCATATTCTCTCCGCCATTTTTAGGCCATAAAAGCATATTCTCTCCAGCTAATAAAATACAATCAATTAACCATTTAAAATTATTCAAAACCAATCGTATCCATTTAACACTCAGACACATGTCAAGGACAATTTCATTAATTCGATAAATTATTTTAAAATTCAGTATTATTTTGTCCAAATTTCATCGATAATAAAAATAATTAATAAATATATCTAATTAAATAATATCAAGTTTCATAAATATGAAAATAGTTATAAACCAAAAAACGAGGCTACCATTTTATAATAATTAAAATAAGAAAATAAAGAAAAAAAAAGTAGCGGAAAGAGGAAAGGAAAAAAAAAACTTTTAATACCCAAAACAAATCAAAACATACCGTTTGTTTAAGCTTAAAAAAATCTTAAAAAGGACAACGTGGCACACTTGAGGGAAGGCCAGCGACAACTTTATATGTTGTCGGAGAGATTGTTTGAACAGAATTGAAGACTTGAAGTGGTAGTTTGTTTCATATGATGTCTGACAACCACCTCTAGAGGAATGGAAACCACCGTCACGCTATTCACGGCGGTCGGCGTTGGCGCCGCCGTCCCGGAGAGGTTGAGTTTGGTCACGATTAGTAATGTTCCTTCCATCAAGATCCTGAGCATTGATTCTTTCAAAAGCGTTCCTCATCAAAGGGTCGTTTTCAACCTCAACGAGACAAGCGTAAACCCATTGATCGCTGAGGATATTGGCTACAGACACGAGCTCCTTCTCACCCCTGATCCTCCAATTCTGCTGCTCGATCTCTGCAGCTGCACGTTGCATAGCTCTCAGTGACCGTCTCAGACGCTTATTAACCCTTCGCTTCCTTGCCACTCTAGCTCTCAGAGCTCTCAGGTAACGACCCTGTTTGAACAAGCAGCAAATTCAGCTTTTAGTATTTAATACAATTGAAAAAGGGGTCGCAATCGCAGCAATTCTGATAAAAACCTACCACTCTAAAGCGAAAAAGAAACTAATCGAACACCAAGAGACAGAAACCTAACCATGATTTGAGAGCTCCTCGGCGAAAAATGGCGAAAAAAGAATCCCGTCATTTTAGGGATTGTGAACTCTTTTTGGAGAATTACTTGATTAGATTAAAGCTAACAGGGGAAAGCGTCACAGAGTTTTATCTTTTTTTGCAGCTTGGCTTCAGAGAAAGTGTACGCCCTTTTGTATATCCACCTTTCTTTTTGCCGCACGTTGTATCGCGCGGAATTTCGAACGATGAACCAGACTACTAGAAGACTTATTATTTTTCTCCTTAGCCAAGAAGGACTGCAATTTCATTGGTTTAAAAAATAAAAAATAAAAAATAATAAATAATCGTATATGAATTTAAAATATATATATAAGTCTTGTATAATTTATCCATAAAAGTTATGATACAATAATTTTTTATTTTATAAATATTTAATATAAAAAGAATAAAATATAAATACAAAATTTTAACAAATTTAAAACCATGTCCGTGTCAATTATAGTTAAAAATTAATTGAATTTGGAAACAGGGTAACAAAACAATGCAGGTAGATCAATAATTATTGGTCTATTTCCAGAGACGTGCGAAAGTTAGTAGAAGTTGAGCAACTATTTGCGATATAATTGTGATGTAGGCTATCAGTCAATGTCGAAACATAAGAAGAGTCAGCGATTAATTGTAATGTGGGCTTTGGAGTACAATCCTGATGGACCACACTAATCCATTGCCAAGCTTTACTCATCTAGATTAAAAAAACTCAAATCTCAAAGTTGAAAAAAAAAAATTTAATTATACTTTATTTTAATTTATTAGAATAAAAATTTTAAATTGTACCTGAATCAAACTTAAAATTAAAATAAAGTAAAAATTCAAATAACATTTGAAAAACGTAATTATAAACTATATTTATGTGTAGTTAATGATGAAAAAATGGTAAATGTCAATGGTGCTTCATTTTAGAGAAGAAAAGAAGTGGACATACAGTTACTAAACATTGAGAAAAACAAAAAAGCACGCTACTGGTAGTTTAATACCATTTAAAATTAATTCATACTTTAATAATAAAAAATTAAATACCTTTAAAAAGTAATTCATAATTTTTAAAATAGTATGGATTTATTATTGAGTGGTGACAAACACATACAACCATGATTCATATGCCACTTTTTCAATCGTTCACTCATCGCGCGGTTGCTGACTCAGATCCACCAAAAACGTGCGAGATCTCTCGACGATGCCGTGCGATTTGCCCAATCATCAACAACCATTCAATTCATTATAAAGCTATAAACAACATTTCACCTAAAAAAAAAAAAACAACTTCAGAAGAAAAAAAAAGCTAAAATAAAATCTTCCAATCCTCTAAAGATCACAAAGTAGAGAAAACTCCAAACAAAATTTTTCTACCAGTGAAGCTATTTGGTGCAAATGATGAATTCACAATCCTTTCAAAAGCACAAATTATAGGATAGTCAGAGCAGATTTTGTTAATTACTAGTTAGGTGAGCTTGCCTTGATATATACAATATTCTTGTTTAGATTTGATCCTTAATTTTCCATCTTAAATTAAATATTTGGTATGTATTAACACTTTCATTTTTTTTTATTGAACAAAACCGATATACACAAGCTTTTTATTTTTTATTTTTTAAGTTTCAGGATTAGCAGCATAGAATCATACCCACATCGTGGAATGAATATAAAGGTGCCGGTTACATAGATCAAAAAGTACAGAAACGATCGGTGTAATTTTTCTGAAAGAAATTTCAAGCTTTTGCCTTTTTCGTCCAATCCCTGCCATCGATTCCTGTGAACTTATAGGTAAGAACAAATTATTCTACATACTTGAAACTGGAAATAGCCTCTGGGTAACAAGCAACAATCCGAATAGTATTAATAACAAATTACAATCGGAATCAGCATTGCCATAATGATATAGATAACCTGCAAACACCAAAACTTTTATTGACATTGTAATATTGATAAATGAAAAGAAAAGAAAATTTAAAATAGATACTGAAAATAAAGATTATAGGGAAATCCCATCAGTTCTAATTTTTTTTTTTCTCCTTTGACACCCAACGATGTCAATTTTTTTCTCACTTGGCTTGGAGCCAAGTGAGAAAAAAATTGAAAGAATTGGGCGACAACAGTGGAGAGCATGATATAAAGAAAATAAAGAAGAAAGAGGGAGGTATTGAGGAGGAAGATGCCGAGGAAAGTGGGCCTGAAATTACTTGGGAATGGGTGGTTGTATTTATAGATGCGAAACTTACGAACTCCTTCCTATTTGTGACGTGTGGTGTTGGTTTGAAACACTTGACGAATACTTAATCATAAAGTTTGGTTTTTGAGCAGAAGTCTACAATCTATGCAATTTAAGTTTAGATCTCGCCGTAATTTTATCGTGATACGGTTAAATTTATCGTATTATAATTAAATTTAAAATTTAATTTTAATAAAATTTTTAATTATAATTATAATAATTTTTTAATAATTATTATAATAATTTTTATTAATCATAATTATAATAATAATAATAATAATAATTTTTTGTCCCACTAATATCAATTTATTGTTTATTCAAATGAAATTGCAATCTCGATTAAGCTGTTTGACACTGCCATGGATTTGTTTTTTCAAGGTTTATTAACATTCCATCCGATTTATGTTTATAAATATTCTAAATTTTTTAATATTTAAATTATTAATATAAAATTAAATTTTAATTTAATTAATTTATATAATTATTTTTAGAAAATAACAATCAACTCTGAGTTTTGAATATAAACATTTACAATTTTTTTTTTAGATTAAAATTTTTTATACAAAAATATTGTTAACATATGAAAAGTTATTATTATATTAAATATTAAAATATAATAAAGTGGATCGAAGTCAGTGGAACCGGGGCAGGTTTGAATTTGAAAATTGTTGTTCACCACCGCTCAGTACGAGTGGGGCCATCCGTCCCATTCACGAACCTAGTATTGGCCACCTCAAACCAAAACAAAGAAAAAAGGTTTTGGGTCTTGACTTCGACTGTTTAACAAGGGAATCTTTATCCAACAGAAAAATAATATTTATTCTAGCCAGGCCTGTTTTCAATTGGGCTAAACAGCTCTAAATCGAAGTACCAATCACTAAAACGAGGGAATTCGAATTTCCATTCTTATCAAAATAATAACAATCACAAAATTAACTCTTAGTTGTTTTTTTACTATGCTTCATATAGATAGAATTTAAACCTTCATCATTAAAAATTAAGAATTTAATATTCTTTTAACATATTATAGGACTGTTGATAAATCTTAGTTATTTAAATAATCATTTTATTTGAAACAAAAATTTTAAAAATTTCTTAAATAACTTTGTAGGGACTATCTCAATTGAAAAAAACTAAATTTAACCATCTGCTAATAAGTTTAATCTTAATTTTGATGGGGTTTAACGACTAATTTGAACAGCAATATAGTCAGATTAATCTTCAAATCATATTAGATCATTTTTTTCAAAACATATATAAGTAAAAGCTAATGTTCATTTATCAACTATAACAAAAAAAAAATTAATCATTTATCAACTAAATAATAAGGTTTGATTTTTGTTTTCATTTTTCTCTATACTCTAAATATTTTGACCCCATTTGATTTGCATTTTTACTTTTTGTTTTCTAATACAAAGTGAAAAAGTAAAAAAAGAAAAAAGAACTAAAATTAAAATATAAAAAACAAAGAGAAACAATAAAAGTATCCACCAGAAGGTGCCTAAATGATCATTGTCATTCTTTTTTGAGGCTCTTCAAGAGTATTTAGTTCATTTTTTAAATTAATTATCTCTTAAATATATAATTATGTACTATGTTATTTTTAATACTACCTTTTTTTTATCCATCATATTTAATTTAATAACCCAAACTTTGTTCCGTGATTGATTGCACCTCATCGAAAAAACCACACATCACTCTGATTAACAAACATTTCAAAAAAAACCAGGAATCAAAACACCTCTCAAGAAGTGATAAAACTTCATGATATTATTGCTTACTAAAACTAGCTATCGTTTTATTCTCTCTCCCTTCCTTGTAGATGTAAAATTATATGATCAAACAAGCTGATCCTCAGCTTCAATGATAGCTAGCATACGAGTAATAAATTGTTCCATGCATTCATTCTTAGCAAAAGATATCTCTTTCTTTCTCTTCATCCGAGCAAGTTTTGTTTCCATATCTTGAATTCCACCTTCCATGGCTGTTGCTTCTACCATTATAAACTGTTTCAAGCACATTGTGCATCCTCTTTTTTCTGCCACTTCAACTTCTAGCCTCTTAATGGTCTTCTTTGCTTTCTGTTTTGGCAAGGCAATTTCAAGATTATTAATTCAAAATTAACCATATATAAATAATTTATCCAAATTTAAAGAATCCTAAAGATCGACTAGGGTAGCCAGCAATACTGAATCATAAATGTACCTAAAGTACTCTTGAGTTGTGTAGCTTTTTCTTTAAAACTCATGGGGCTTCTTTTTTCTTCATCATTCCAATCCACTCTCCTTCTGACTTATCCATATATGTATCGGTAATATATGAAGAGTCGAGATGTATGTTTATTGTTTACTTAAAGGTAAAATAGGTAAAAAAAAAAAAAGCCTCTGAATTAAAATTTAATAATTTTTCAAATTTCTATCATTTTTTGTAATTAATTAAACCATCAAATATTTATCTTCACCAATTGAGCCCTTAATAGAGAGAAAAAAGGTTAATTATTTTTATTTAATCGATGGTGGCTTAATTAAGCGAAAATAAATATTTAAAGTTTCAAGGGAATGAAATTAAATATTTAAGAGTTTAACTGATTCTAAATAAAAAATTTATAATTTAATTGATTGTAATAAACATCAAAATTTAGATAATTATTGAATTTTTATCAGAGGTTTTTTTTTTCTTTTTTACTTTTACTTAATTCTTTGGTTTAAATCAATATATTTGAAAGTTCGAAAATTTTCAGCCAACCAATTTTGTAATTGAAATGACGAAAGAGAGATTTGGACCAAAATCTCACTAATTTTTGTAGCATTAAGTATTAGAAAACTCTCATTTACACTGTCCGTAACGCCCTCATAAGATGAAAAATTCTTACCGTAAAAAAAAAAAAAAATAGTTGAATAAGCTCATTGAAAATATTTAGAAAAGTAAACATATAAATAATAAATGATTGGTTCAATTGATTAAAATTTTTTTTAATGAAAAAATTTTAAATTTGAATTCTATCGGTGATTGTTTATTAAATTATTTTGAATA